AAAAAAAAAAGAAAAAAGAAAAAAAGAGAGAGAACATGCCCGGGTTGCGGGCTTGCCAATCAATGATTCTCTCTCATCGTTGATGTTTCTCTCTCTCCCTCTCCCTTCCTCTCTGAAATCAATAAATATATTTAAAAAAAAAAAAGAGAGAGAGAGAGAGGGAAGAGTAGAGAGAATGTTTCACTAAGCATTTGCCTCCTGCACATGCCCTAGAGCAGTGATGGCGAACCTTTTGAGCTCGGCGTGTCAGCATTTTGAAAAACCCTAACTTAACTCTGGTGCTGTGTCACATATAGAAATTTTTTGATATTTGAAACCATAGTAAAACAAAGACTTATATTTTTTATAGTTATTTTATATATTTAAATGCCATTTAACAAAGAAAAATCAACCAAAAAAATGAGTTCGCGTGTCACCTCTGACACGCATGTCATAGGTTCGCCATCACTGCCCTAGAGTGAAACATTTTTGCAAACCCTGAAAAGAATACCAAGATGAATTGGGGCATGTCCTGGATGATCCAAGGAGTATTGAGCCCAGGAATCCCCTGCATTCCCAGGCAATCTTTAAAAGATACTTTCCTTTGCAGATTCCAATGGCCCATTTGTTAGTTCTGTGCCCACTGGCCTGACCCTCTCCAACAGTGTCCTATGTCTTGACCCAGAGCACAGCAGCCATCCTGGCCTTGATCCTCTTCTACCTGACACTGCCTCAGATGGCTGCAACCCAGCTGGTCAACCAGGTTAGCAGCAGCTCCCCTCCCTGAATAGGGTAGCACTAGGTAGGTAATGAGTTGTATGGCTGATAAGACTTTAAGGAGGTCTTTAAGCTCCCCCCGCCCCCCAGGCATGGCTCAGGGCTTGAGTGTCCACCTATGAATCAGGAGGTCATTGTACGATTCCCAATCAGGGCACATGCCCAAGTTACAACCTCGATTCCCAGTGTGGGGTGTGCAAGAGGCAGTCGATCAATGAGACTCTCTCATCATTGATGTTTCTAGCTCTCTC